TTAAGGAAACTGCTGCTGATATATTTATATCGACTTTTTGCAAATAATTAAATAGAATTTGAATAACTAAGTTTTTTGTTTCCAAAAGCAAAGAAGGTATACAAATTCAAAAGATTTTATATATGTTGAAATTACACGAGCATCAATCATTTGACTCTCATTTGTACATGAAATTTCACTAGATAAGTTGCTTTCCATAACCTCTATTATAGCGGAGAGGTTGTCAAATATCGAATTAACAACTCTAGTGTGACTTGCCTAACGAGTCGTAGACAGTTTTTTTGTCATAATTTTCTTGAATGTCTTCAATAGGCAGATGTAAAAAAATACTTTTTGGCATCGGTAATTGGTAACACAATAAACACTTGCCGACCCAACTCAAACGTCGCCACTGCCGCATCGCGCGTTGTTTTTGAAGATATCATTCGTTATGATTTACGATCTCATAAAATAAAAATTGTTATTTTACTTTAACTTTGGACTAAATAAATAAATAAATAAATAACAATTTCTTTTAAAATATTATTTGAGACATTTCAAACAAATGCGGTGTTTTTTAAAAATATCTTTGGAAATATTTTACAATTTCAATAAATGTTACAGGGTGTAATAAAAGAAACTGTTTATTGTGTATAAAGGCACCAAGCGGCAAGGAGCCCCTAGCAAGGGGACGGGGAGGGCAAGCGCCCCGCCTGACCCTACCTGGCTACGCCACTGGCATTTTCATGTATTACCATAATTAGAACATGACTTCTGATCACTTATTTGTTATATTAATTACTAGATAATATTAATTAATAATAAGACAAATTATATTTAATTCAAAAATATTGCAGTGCTAAACAATTGAAAATAAAAACGACAGAATAAATCAAGGAAATGTTTATTTATATAAAAATATTACAGTTTCTTTACATGTATTTTTGGACTTTCACTAAATTATAAATCTATTTTTAAAATCTGACTCATCTTTCAGCAGCATTTAAAATAGTCCTTAATAAAACACTTAAAGGGTACTTTATATAATCTTCGAATCGTGCATATTCTAGGTACCACAAAACACTTGAAATATGAGCACAAATGCCTATAGTTCTTGGTGTTTTACATGTACAGTAATATATAGTAATGGGAATCTCTTGAATTTTATTTTACTCTATAAAGTGTGCTTCTCGAATATATTGCAAAAAACGCCACATAGAAAGTTTCCTGACAAAAATAAACTACCTACTACCAAAAATTCCTAATGACAAACTTTGAAATTGTTCCAAAAAATAAGACGAAAATATACAATGTAAAATAGAATTGCTACATTTGAAGATCCACATCCGATTTTTTACCTCTTGAACGGTTGTTTATCCACATTGGACGCATCTGCCCCAACTAATTTACGTATCTTGAATCACGTAATCAAAGATTCACAACATCTCAGATGCATCCGATATGAATAAACAAACGAAGCAAAAGTAATCTGAAATTGCAAAGATAACAACGTGTTAACCCTATCATGATAATTTGGCTGTTATTTAATCTAACACTCGCCAACCTTTTATTTTATAGAATCATTTTGTAATTATTCTGATTGACAAAGAAAAAGTTATGTTATAGGCCTAGAAAATAATTTAAAGCAAGATAAAAGTATATAGTGGTGTGGAATAGATAAACAATAAGAATTGGCCAGGATTAAATAAGTTTTTAAATAAATTACTACTGCAAACATTGTATAAATTTTTTTTATGTTTTAATTTAACTAAATTTAACATACTAAATCCTCAAAAATAGAATTATATTTGATAAGTTGACATCTTTACTGTATACAAAAATCAGAAAGTGCTTTTCAAATAGAATATGTCTTCTCAGTCATTTATTCAACTTAGAATTAGTAGAATTATTTCTACATTTAAGTAGGCGTAGAAAGAGATTTGGTTAGATAAAGAGGGTTATGATTATGATTATGATACGAGCAAAACTGAATTCGTTTCAAGACTTTCTGCAATATTTTAAGTATACCAATTTTTCGTTAAATGCGTTTTAATTTTCAGTTGTTTATGTAGTTCTATCACACCCTGTATTACTTATAAATATGAAATGAAACAAAAATGTTCAGAAGTCATATTCTAACTATAGAAATACATGTAAAATGCACCATATTTTAGTAACTGATATTCCTAATTTTTTTTAGACACGCTGTATTATTTATTTTACAAAGTGTGAGTAAACAAAAATTACTAAAGAGTGGTGGAGATATTCTGCACTCCTAACTTTTGAATCCTTTTAACAGCTAACCCTGTCGAGCTGCCTACTTGAGGTCCATAAGAAAGTGGCTCATAATTAACTAAAAAATAACTTACTAACATTTGAACAAATTCTAACAGTACCCAAAATCAAAAATTGAAAATGGAATATTTTGGTACTAATAAAAAAGTTTAGCAATTTACAAATTGTGGTCTTAATTAAAAAAAAAGGAAAGTTGCAAAAATTCAAATAGTATATTTAGATAGTAATCGGAAAAAAAAATAAATGCAGGAAAATTAAATAAAAAAATCAAATTACTAATAAAATGTTTTTATTTAAATAATTTACATTTTTATACATATTAAATATTTTCTTCGACTTCATTTCGGTGGAGTATTGAAACAACTTTTTCGCTACACCGTGAACATGCTATACTACAGTATAAGCCACTTTTCCTACATCCACAAGCAGCTCTACATCCCTTTTTATAATTACAAAATAACATTTTCAATAGATTATCCGGAGCTGGTAATTGATTGATTGTTACTGGGATGACCATGTTATTGGATAAATTTAAAAAACACAAAGATAGAAAATAGAGTATAAAGTATTATTTGTATTTTGGCAAAAAAATATATTTGAAGTGTAAATTTACAACTCAAGGCAATAGCGACGATGAACAATATAAAAAGAAAAAGAGATGACAGTGAAATATTGATGACTGATAATGCTTTTAATATTTCAAATATATTAGTAACTCCAGAAAAGCAACATACAGCAAATTCTAACTCCTTGACTTACGAAGCATCTGCCAAAATAATGGCTGACACTGTAGTTCATTCAACACCACAAAAAGAAGTTCTAGAGAAGAAAATACAAACTCCTTTTAATATCAATATCACAGCTAGCAAAACTTTAAAAAAGCCAATAATACCATCTTCTTTTGGCTTGAGGAAAAGAAAGGATGTTAAAAAGATAAAAAGGAAAAAATACCTTAAGTTATAACTTCAGAACCATATCAGGAATACAACAGAAAAATGCTAAAAAAGGAATGAAAGGAAAGGGAAAAACTCAACAGAAAAATTCAAAGGGAAGAAAAAAGAGAAAATAAAAATAAATTACAAGAAAATAAAAATCTAAAGAAACTAGAATTAGACGAGTGAAGATAATGAAGATGTGATCTATGCAGAATCAGATGATTTAACCTGGAATACTGAAGAAGATAAAGAAGAAGACCAATATATAGAAAAAGTGAAGCCTCTAAAGTACATTAACGAACTAAAAAATGGTGATTTTGTTTTGGATAGTTTTGTAAGAAGCAAAATGTTCGGAAGTTTACAAATGTGTATATTGTACAGGAGATCGTTGGGGACGATTAGTATTATAGTTTTAAACTGTATTGACAAAAGTAAATGAAAAGGATGTTACAACAGTTTCTTTTGATCAGAATTTTTAAATACTAGAAAAGCCTGAGGTGGTTTCTATTGGTGAAGGTTTAAGATATGTATTTAAAAGCGTTCGTACTGTCGTCATAATTTATATAAAATAAGAATATGTTTGATAAACAATGTTTACTAATAAATTTTATTATTATTATTAGTAGTTTCCCTCTTTGTTTTATTATTGCCATCCATTAGTGCATTTCCTGCAATGTCAGTTATTGGAACATTTGACATGTCAGGGAGTGGTGCTTATACGTACATAGGTGTATTAGAAAAAATTATCATTATTAAAAAAATATTTAAATAAACTAAATCGAACCCAGTTCATTCAATAGCTGAATGTTTGAGTGATTATTTGTTTTTTAGAATTTTTTTAACGTTTTTTTAAAGAAATATTTTTATTTTAGTAAAATTACATCCTTATAATGTCATCTACTGGTTCAATTACTCAAATAATATTTGTTTTATATTTTTTTGTTTTAATTATTAAAAAATTAAAATCACAAAAAATGTATAGTTTAAAAAAGAAAATTCCGCTTTAACCATATAAATTTTTTAGTTGTAGCACGAGTCCAAATTTAAAACCCCCAGGCGCTCCAGTATAATCTCAATAACTTAAAAATATACTGACAATTAGTTTTACAGAATTGTCACTTATTTGAAATTTTAAGAAATACAGCCAGGTGACCGAAATATGAACTGTGATTAGTGGATTTTATTTTTTAAAAGTGTTCTTACTAGGTAGAATGGATATAAATTATATTCATTGAGTTGAACGTAATGGCATACTTTTTTGTTTTGTAGTCTGTTAGTAGAATAGCTAAATTGATTGAAGTTGCAGCAGTGTATATGGAATAAAAAACCTAAATCAATGCGTCTAAATTTGTCCCCCAACAAAAACAAAAACAACGTAACAGGTTTTTTTTTCTACAAAAGTTTTACCTAGCTTTCGGTATACACGTGAAATAATATCATAAATATATGTTAGTAAGTAATAGCAGATAACAAAAATTTTTATATTGACCTCCTATCATTCAGTTATACCTACAAGCAATTGGACACCATTTTACAGGTATTACACAAATTATTTTTGTTTAGATACATTAAATTAGATTGTTAATATTAGAAAAGTTTTATATTTTTGTTTGTCTAAATTTGTTGTTTTTAGTTTAATATCTTTATCTATTTACTTTACATATTTACATAATGATATTTACATATTTAGACTATTTATAAAAACAATTGCTGTTATTACTGTAAATCGTCTTTTAAAAAAAAAAAAAATATATATATATAAGGTTGAGTACATTTTTTAAAACAGTAAGTTCTCTTTTACAACATGCCTGGTGTTTTTCTATTTTTAGTTTTTATTTGCGAATTGAGCATACATACTGTAGTGTTTGGAAATGAAGGTAATATTTTTGACATTTTAATATCGTAGAATACTTCAACTAGCTTTTGTTTATATTTCTACATTGACAGATACAAAAATCAAATAACTAAAATATTTTCTTTAAAATTACATTTATCTAATTTTGCTTTGGCTTGAAATTAACACTATTTTAAGCTTGCACTTAATTAGGAACCATCATTAGGAACAAAAAATAAAACAAAAAGGAAAAATGATCAGTGATTTACTTTCTGTCAGGGCCAGCAAATTTTTACTATTTTCCATAATTTTAATTTGGTTTAGCGTGACTACCTGATAGAAATTCAATTTAAAATACCACAAAAATGGTGGTGTTGTGTAAAGAATTTTATAAGATATCGTTCCATGCTTTGGTAACAAAAAGCCAGATTAATATTACTGGGGTTCCTCAGGGATCGGTTTTTGCACCGATACTCTTCTTATCGTATGTTAATATTATGTAAATCAATTCAAATATACAGTTGATGAAACCAAAATGTGAACACCAAATTTTAGACTTTGCATAATAGTCGTTAATCGCATTTAAATTTGACAGATCTTACAAATTATTGTCAAGTAAAGTCGAGATCTATAGCAAAACTAGAAGAAAATTGGTCTTTAAGTGAAGTGTCTGCTGAATAAAATGTCAGCAAAAGTTGCATTAAAAAACTCTCTGGCAAGAAGAAAAAAGATCTGTTAGACAAGGTGTAGAGAAGATCTCTATTGAAAATCAGGACAATGCTTTTGTAGAATATATCCGTGAAAATTATTTTGGAACCGCTGTGAAAACACGATAATCTATAAAAACAGTTCAAATGAATTTAAAACAAGCTGACTTAAAAAACTGCACTGCTGCCCACAAACGGGTTTTTAACTGTAGAAAATAAGCGCAGGAGAGTCCAGTTTGCAAATAAATTTTTAATTAACGGGTAGGAATTTTGGAACAACATGGTATTCTTCGATGAAAAAACGTTCCAATAGTTGCGTGAGCGTATACCAGGGATGTTGCGAATATTCGCATCCGCATCCGCAAATGCGGAGTTTCCGCATAGATTTGAACATCCGCATCTGCATCCGCATCCGCAATAATCAATACGGATGTTCATCCAGATGCGAAGGTAATACAAATGGCGAGTTGCGACAAGAAAGAAATTGGGTGGAGCCGGCGAATGACGCGTGCCGTTCGCACGACGCGTTTCCTGAGAATGACTGATCCCACGAAAAAGAATATGAAACAACTAGGACCAGAACCATCAAGTTTCGTCAGAAAGCCAAGCTTAAAAAACGACCTTGCTACGATGTTAGATTCGTCAAGTGAAGATGTGAGTCAAGAAATATCAGAAAATGGTAGCCTTGAAGCTGTACTTAAAAAGGAATTACTTTCTTACCGCACTAAAAAAAGAGTAATTTCTGATCAAAATCCTCTTAAATTTTGGAGTGTTCATCGAGAGGAATTCAAGATATTATCACCGATAGCACGAAGATTTTTATCCACTCCACCAGGCAGTGTTCCTAGCGAACAATTATTTAGTAGCGCGGGTTTAATTTACGAACCTCTGCGTAACCGCCTTGAATCAGAAAAGGTGGCAAAATTACTCTTTATTAAGTACAATCTTCCTATTTTTGACTTCACTTACTAATATGAAAATTAGTAAGTGAAGTTAAAAAAAATAGGAGCATTGTACATAGGAATACATACATAACATAATACTAATTTTCATTGATAAAAATGTTAATAAATACTTTATCATTGTTTTAATTCTTCATTCGTTTTCGTATTCTATTTTTATATAGGATCTTAAACATCCGCGTCCGCATCTGCATCCGCGGATGTGAGCCTTCAAACATCCGCATCCGCTTTCACATCCGCGGATGTGAAAAAATCGGCATCCGCAACATCCCTGGACAGCTGATATTCGGGCTCCTTATCTATCATATTATATTTCAGTGCTTAGCTTGTTATTTTAATCTTTAACATTAATTTTCTAGTTTATTAGATCAGATTTTGTCTAGCCTTTGTCAAGTAAAGACGTATGTAATTTTAATTAATAAAATTGTTTTTAAAAAAGCTGTATCAGTTTCAAAATATCTATTTCAATTTTCTAACGGCGGAAGGCTGCGAGTTTATCGTCCTATTAACTAGAGATTCGACAGAATTATACGTTAGTTACTATTAATAGCCCTGGAATATGCTGGAAAATGAATGCCCGATAAACTTATGTAAACACCTTAGATAACGTGATGTTACCATTGATAAGACATTTTTTTTTGACAATTTTACCTTTCAACATGTAAGAAATCAGTTTTGATTAACAACGAAAACATAAATATTTTGCCATGGCCAACAAATTTACATTGAAAATGTAGTTAAGACCGATTCGACAAAACTGCACTAATGAAAGTAATATATTTTTGTTCCTAATATTCTCCCTTTTCTTTGTAACATCTTTGGGCAAAGCAAGTTTTACAGGAATCAATTTCAGTAAAAAATCCGATGACAAACAAAGAGCGTTCACATTTGGATTGCGTCGACTGTACAGGTGTGCATTGTATGCATATTTGTTCTTGTTTAATCCTTATATTTTGTTTACTGTAAACTTTATTTAGCTTGGGTTTATCAAAATACACTTCATTCATTATTACAATAAAAATATTATGAAGCACTGATACTCATTTAATAGGTTCTAAATGCCTTGACAGACATAATTCTGTACCATCTGTGAATAAGTAGGTAAGTCTATAACGGAAGTTTTTCAATATGGCCATTTTAAACAACATTTTGATGTTTTAGAAAAATACAAATTTTAAGTTGAGTTTCGTTTTTTAGAAATAAGTTGTTAATTATGCAATTAACAATGTAAATAATTTGACCTTTCAAATTATATTACTTACTGGAAAAAAATCTAAGTTACCTATTTATTAACTCCAAATGTGTGTGTTGTTGAGTTGACTTATTCTTGTACAAATAAGCTGGACAAAATTTTTTGAATATTTTTATTCATTAATATATGAAAAGCAAAGTGAACTTAATCTAAATAACATACATTTTGATTGAAAAAAAAAAAAAAACTAACAAACTATTGATCATTTGGTTTAACCTCTTCCAAATTTGAGGATAGCTGTAGTTACTAGTTTAGACACAAAAAATTTGAGAAATCCAACTATTCACGGCGTCCTCTGAAGTAAACTATTGCGAATTTGAATTACCCATTTGTTCACCAGACTGAATGGGACGAGCTCTATAGATATATGTAGATATCTCATTTAAAATCTGACTTATCCACTTATTCACGGATGGTACAGAATTTGAACGTAGGTATTCTTCAAGGGTTTGTATTGGGACCCGAAATTTTCTGCTTGTATGAATTTATTAACATGGAAATTTCTGGAGGGTAAAGTGATTGAATCAGAAATATATTTGTTGTCATAATTTGAATATCAGAAATATTGGGGTGGGTGTAAAATTAAAGTATTTAAGAGAATAATATGAGATTAGGGTTGTTATGAGGATTTTAGATTATTGATACTGGAAGTAACAGATGGGAATTAAAAAAAAAGAATAGGTCTTGCAAGACATGTTGGATTTATTTTCATTGGTGTCTTCGGCTTCGACAACTAAGGCTATTAACTTCGGGTTCTATGTAGGTTAAGGAGTACTAGTAGTTTAATACTTCATAGTGCAGGAGTGCTAGAACTATAATACTCCTGCACGCCTACATATAGGCTTTGTTATTGTTTCCCCGTGCCATTTTAGACACAGTACTGTTCATTATAACCCAACACTGAATGGCCGGAGCAACATAATAATTTTTAAATAACTAAATTAAATAAAAAAATCCCGACCAACGGTGGGATTTGAACCGCAGACCTTTGAATTCGCAAGTCCAAACTCTAAACACTCAGCAACCCGCCCCCCCCCCCACTACATATTACTGAGGCCCTTCCTATGGTGCCTCAGTATTGAATTCGTGCAGACGAAAAAATTTTCTTATCACCATTTTTTAAAACTTTTTTTCATGTTTCCGACCATGCAAAAAAAATGTTTCGTCTGGTCGTCTGTATGTATGTATGCCGGCACGATAACTACAGAACGAAAGTTCTGGTTGACTTGCGGTTTTGATTTTCTTGAATAATTACTTCTAACTTAGAACCCTATTGATTTTCAGAATTTTCGGTTCATTCTAACTACTTTATAATCAATTTTCTTAAAATCCGCATATGCATTTCTTATGTTACAATTTTAGGAATTTCAATTATTTCTAAGTCAACATTTCTAACATTCTTAACATTTCATAAATTGCAAACATTCTCTAACGACCTGACAAACAACAGCTGTTGATAGTAAAGGTGAAATTTCTAAGGCGGGTTGCGACCTTCATAGCCATTTTGGAGGCTATTTTTATTCGAAATTAGTAGCCAAGTCTGTCAATTTATGAAAAATATATAAGCAATTTCTTAAAAATGACTTTTTATGGTGGTGCTAACTTAAGCGTACTACTATTTCGCCCCTAGCCACAAAAACACCTTCATCAAATTTATTGGCTCTCTGTCGCAATCCCATAAAATAATTAACCGGCCATTTTATTTGGCTGTGCCTGTCAAGTATCAAGATGTCAACTGTGATGTGTGAATGGCTCTTAAATGTCAAATTATTTAAAAATGTATACTTCTTTTGATATTTATTGCAAATAATTTGTAGTACGAGATATCTCAATTCAGGCTTTCCATAAAGGTACAGCAAGATAGATTATAAATTGTTCTTATACAAAGGTATGATATAATGCTCGTTTTTTGTTGAAAATTTTTATTATACGATTTTGGATTACATATTCAACCAGCGAATTGTAAATAATAATTAGTAAACTTCTAGTCATAAATTTCCTCAATAAATAAAATATAAAAGTGAATCTTCTTACCTTGGTACCGAGGTATTTTGTTGTTTTTTATTTTAATTATAAAGTTGTCATTTATTTGTATGTTGAAAGAAGGCATTTGTAAATTACATTGCTCTCTATGGATCTACTTTAACACAAAAATAGTTTTGTGGCTATAAGTTGCTATAACCTATCGTCGCAAAACTATTAATAATTTAAACATAGTAAGTAGTATTATTATAACATCAAGTAATTTTTTAAAATAAAGTACATGATCTGAAAATAGAAATAATTTATAATAAATGCGGGTAAAACGAGGGGTAAAATAACAATAAATTAAGGAAATTACTTAAAAAGGGCAGGTTTAAAGAGTATTATCACAAGAAAGTATATCCGTCCTGTTCGTTTATCAAGTATTGTTTGAGGTTACTTTTGAATACATTTATTGTTTTTTTTTTTAATTTCTGTAGGCAGTCTATTAAATTTTATAAACCTTTAATAAAAATTGTATTTTGGGAACTTTTAGTAATGCCTTGCCATACATGAAAGTCTGATTGGCTTCTAATATTTTAGTTGTGATATTTTAAATTATATTGAATTTTTTCTAATAGATCTGATGCGATGGTACTATGTCATTTTTATTTTATAAATAAATATCAGTCATGTACTGAACATAATTCTGAACTGAAAGCCAATTTATTTCTTTTAACATAGTTGCAATACTTATCCTTCTGTCCTTTATTAATATTATATGAACAGGCGAAGTAAGGAGCCCAAATATTTTACATGAGCAGGCTTAAGAGGTAAAAGGGCCAATTATTATTGGATTAATTGCTCAAACAAGTTTGTAAACCCTAATCAAAAGGCGATATAGAATGGTTTTAAAAATCAAGGCTTATTAAAATCATCACATGGTTTAATCTAATTAATGCCAATGCTTCACAAACCAAAAAATTCAACGTCCTAATACTACCATCGGCTTTCGGTCTTTCGTTCCAAGTCAAATCATTTCTCGTTTTTGTTACGCTACGAGTTTAGCCTTGTGAGCCTCAGTCTCGATAAGGTAGGAACCACCATTTTAGCATCTTTTGAATTGGAATTGAAATGGAAATAATTATGAAGATTATGTAATGGATTTGGTTTTAAGATGAAATAAAAAAAAATAATTCGATTATTTTATTTTAATTAAATATTGAACGCATAGGTAGACACGGAGCAGATGAGATCAATACAGAAGGACATGCTAAAGATAAGACGAAGGAGCTTAATTTTTTTTATAGTATTAATATAATTTCATAAACTTTTTAAACATTCCCATTATTCAGATTGCACATTGATTGAAAATTCTAAAACCCTGAAATAAGTTTCCATATCAAAACAATCATAAAGAATATGCGATTTATATACACTAAAATTCTTTTTTTTTTAATTTGTAGTTGACTACTTGGTTAGACAATGGGCTCCTCGCGTGTGGCTGGCACCAGGCGAAAATTTCAAGCCGTCTAATGTAGAAACATTTTTGGACAACGTTTGTGTCGCTGATGAAAACCGAAAATGTATTTTTCCAAAACTGAATAGTGATATATCCCTATCAAGTACAGAAGCTTGGAGTTTGAACACAGTTCAACCAATAGGTAATACGATTCCACTCGTACGTGAATTGGGTCAAAAAATTTTGGGCCAAATTAAATTATAAAAATTTATTATTTATTTTATCACTATTATTTTAATAAAGGAAAACTATTTTTTAGTGTATAAACTAACAAAATATTAGCGCATATTAATTGTACCATTATTAGGAATACTTTTTGTCACACCTGTAATTTGATAGTATGTAGCAATTTATAATATGGAAATGAATTTACTTACAAGGTGTGTGACGACCTATTTTTATTGACGGCACCGTCAATAGTGTATAATTTATATCAATTTTGCAAAAAGAGCTATTGTCGATAAATTATAATCAACGATCCAATTGTTTTGCAGTAAGATGGTGTTGAAGCCAGCATAAAGCATGCACCAATATTTTAACCCGTTGGTTTGAAGAAAACCATGTTCTCATTTTAAATTTTCCCTGAAGCACTCTCTCCAATTGAGACACTCTGGCACCAAATAAAAAAAACGACTGCATGCAAGTCCTGTCTATAGCTTAGATAAAGTGAAAGAGAAAATCTAAAATATTTGGAACAGTTTTCCTCCAGAATATTGTAAACATTTGATAGATGCCATAGTTAGGCGAATAAATGCTATAATAAAGCAAAAGGGTGACTACACTCAGGTAACTTAGACAGACGTACGTCAAAACCCTGGTCCAATTAATATGCGACAATTATTTTAAAATTTACACAGGGTGTTTCAGAAAAAAGTAAACTGGGAAATTTGTAGATCTTAACCAATTATTAAGAAAAGCTAAATATTATTTTCCTGTAAACGTCCCAGTTTTCATTCTACAGGGTGAAAAAGTGAATTTAATAAATACATAATTTTCTAAAAAACTTTCCTTACGGCAAGGACTTTAACTTAAAAATATGTATATGTTTGATAAATTACGATAACCCATTGGCGTAGAATCAAGGGCTGAGAAAACAATTTTAATCCAAACTTTTTAAACAACCTAGATTTCATAATAGTTGAGATTAATAATCATTATTCCTCAGGCAATGTATTACAAAAAAGGGATGGACTCTGTAGAACATTCCATTTTAGAGATTTTTTAGTTTTAGTCCTACTCAAGAATAAAACCTATGTACGTTAAGAAATTCAGAAAATGCAAATTTTTAATAAGGGCCGATTTCATAATCAATATTAATAGGTCCATTAACTAATGGGACCAATAAGTCCAAAGAATTTATTTAATAGCTCAAATTATTTATTACACAATTAATCGTAGTGTTCTTTTTTTTATAATAATAGAGATTAAATAAATAAATCTTCATAATTTAATTTAGCCCAAAATTTTAATTTAGTCCAAGTCATGTACGACTGAGCTCGTATAATCAGTTGCAAAAATAGTTCTTTATTACTTATTAACTCTCAAACATTTTTTTTATTTTTTTAGAAGCACTTTTGGATAATACAGATTCGTTCCTGTATGGGAAAAATACTATCCAAAATTCAGTTCCTACTTACGCTGTAGTAAAGCACTGTGAACCAGAAAAATTGAATTTCCACGTCCGTTATTGGTTTTTCTATCCGTATAATAAAGGAAAGGATGTTTGTGAAATCGGTAAGAAATTTTTGTTAATTCGTAGATAAATAATAGAAGAAAACTAGATCATATACAAGCAAAACACTTTTATTCGAGCCTTTCGTTATTTATTTACTTACTATCTAAATTGGTAAATCTGACAGCATTCTTTGAATGAACATTTCAGATAAGGGTGTGGTCAGTTTTTAATTGAAATGAATTGCTATCTCGTAAACCATTGGTAATACAAATTTGGTTAAATCGGGAAAAAGTTGTATGCTTCGAAGACAAATCTAATGATATTTTGAAAAAAAATGTCAGTGCCGGTTTCTGAGATATTCGATAAAAAACAAATTATTTCCATTCCTTTATTTCACTATAATAGTACGTTGATTTAAAATCGCGACAAACAATAACAACAATGACTGTTTATAGTTTAGTAATTTGTAATGTTTAGTGTTAAAACGGGTGAAAAAAATAATTTAAATATATTATCTCAGGAAAATATGGAAAATTAAGCCACCAAGGAATTTAATACAATAAATAAAGCGACTTTAATAAAGGAAAATAATGCTAGATAACAAACACAAAAGGAACAGGCACTATTTACTGCACGGAAAAAATTAGAACATAAAAAAGAATGCATGGCTAATCAACTAAAAACAATGCAACTTCAACTAGAAAACTGCCCAAAGGATTTTGCGATTTGCAGAACAAATATACAGAATTAAATACAAAGGAAGCAAAAAATATGCAGAAAGTGAAAACAAAACAGATTGCACATCGTCGAAAAAGAATTGACTGCAGAGACTATATGAATTAGGGTAAAGAACCGTAAGAAGCGACTAACATGCGCAGTGATTAGTTTACCAATGCATCCATGCACGAGTCAGCGACACATTAGAATAAAGCTGTTGGAACAAACCTATTGTTAGGCATATTGATATAAAAGAAAAGATTGTTCAAAGCAATTAAGGTACGTTAGATGAACAGGAAAACACTAGAGGAAAGTGTGATAAACCAAAAAATACTCCTCAAAAGTGTGTCAATTATGAAGCAGGCTACCCGACATTATAGCCAAATAATAAAGAACAAGCAAATAAAAAAAGCTAAATTTGCCTCCGCGACCCCATCGGGATAACAGGCAATATATTAATAATAAAAATGAGACATCAAATATTAATAGAAAAGAAACACAAAAGACATCATATTTATTTCGTTAAATTAAATATTAATTCTACTGAATAGGTAGGATTCTCCACTCGACCATTCACTATAGGATTCCAATTAACAGTGCTGTTCCCAAAGTGGCGTTGGGAAACAGTAACAAAGCCTACACAGAACACGAGGCTAATACCCATAGTAGTTGAAGCTAAATAAAAACAACTCAGATAATGAAAACAGAACATATAGCTAAAGAGGGATACAGTGCCTAAAAAAAATCATAAAAGCTTTCGAACACACTAATCGTGAAGATCTTCAAAACTGGATAGTACTAAAACAAGAAGACGGAAACTCAAATAAGCTTCTGGATTTGACCTCATTACCGGCGAACTTTTGAAATAGCTTTCATAGAAGCTAATGTCAAAATGGTGAGTCTCATTAAAGCATCCTTTAAACTAAAGTACGTACCAAAGATGTGAAAGGTGGCAGAAGTTATAATGATTATGATACCTAAGCCAGGTAAACTTGACAATGAAGTAATATCGTACAGACCCATCTCGTTGATGCCTGTTATCTTGAAACTCTATGAAACATTGCTCCTTATTAGATTGAAACCTTTAACAAAAAAAAATCTAATACCCTCCCATTAGTTTGGATTCAGAGAAAAACACTCAACCATCGACCAAGTTCACAGAATCACAAATATTATCTAGAAGTCATTAGAAGAAAAAATTTTGCTCCACCGTCTGTTGGGATGTGGCTCAGGCTTTTGTGAAAGTATGACATGAAGGGCTGATTTAAGATTCCAAAACCGAACATGTTCCTGCCACGTCAATATTCAAAACTATTAAAATTCTATTTATCAAAAAAGTATTTTAGAATGTGACAGAAGAATCTTATTGTGACCTGAGAAAAATCAAGGTAGGAATACCTCAAGGTAGTGTATTAGGTCCAGGACCTTACTTGCTTTATTGCAAAGATATTTCTAATGTTAAGAACAATACTTTCGAAACATTTACTGATGATACTGCTATCCTGGTTGTTGGAAAGAATCCCGAAGACGCTAATAAACAATTGCCAACATCTATAGACTAGAATAACACCTGGACCAAAAGTTGGCGAATAATATTGAATGAAGGCATATCTGCACATATCAATTTTAGCAATAAACAAAATCACTATATTTCATTTAGAATAAATGACACTCAGATTATGCCAATACAGCAAAATATTTTGGTATGAAACTTAATACTAGATTTCGCTGAAAAGTCCATATTAATAAGAAACGTGAAGAGGTTGGTATAAAATACAAAAGAATGTATTTGAAAGTCCATATTAATAAGAAACGTAAGGAGGTTGGTACAAAACACAAATACAATGTATTGGTGTAGTTATCTACTAGCAGTTCCTTTATAGACATATATTGAAACCCTGAGGACGTATGGGGCTGTGCCAGTAAAAGTAGCATTCAAGTTATTCAACGCTTTCAGAATAAAGTATTAAGGAACAACTTCAATACACCTTAGGGTGGAGACTGTTGAAAATACAATTCAAAAATTTGTCGGTAATCACGAACAACGACTGCTCCAACATAGAAACGTTGAGCCTATGCAGCTCCTCGACGAAGTCATTCTAATGAAAGACTCAAAGGAATCAAGCCTTTACATCTAGTCCAGGGATGTTAGATAAAAGCAAGGTATATAGCAGTTTAACACTTTGAGCATTTATTTAAAAAAAAGAGTGTATAAATAATAGCCGATTTGTATACTAATAAAATTAAATCAAGTTAGTCTGATCTGATGATTAGAAATTTAAAACTGTATAAAAGGTACATTCTAGAGATTACAATCGTAGAATACAATTTTATATGGATTAACAAATAAATATTGTATTATCGGTTTTAGAAATTATGAATAGTAATTATCAACTGAAAAAATTTAATCTGCGGTTGTAATCGTCACAATATTTATTAAAATTACAAAGTTAAAAAATGGAAAATATTTTTACTTTTAGTAATAAAATTAACTAAAAAGAAATAAGTGAATGTTTAGCTTACAAATTGTAGATTCTTATTTTATATTTCTTGAACAAATTATACATTATACAAACTTATATGATGCTGTTCAAATCTTCCAAAATGTTGACTAATCACAATATGTTTTTACATCATTATATTTAGCAATGCATCAAAATGATCTGTCGGAAAAATACTGATAAATATTCAAATAAACTTGATATAAAACAGAATGAGTTTTTGTCTGTATTGAAAATCAACGTAGTCTAGTGGAATAAAGCAATGAAATTAATCTGTTTTTTGTAAAATATTTTAGAAACCAGCTCTGATATTTTAGTATTCAAATAAAAATATACTTTTTCCCCATTTAACCAACTCTGTGTTACCAACGGTTTACAACATTTCATTTAATAAGTAGCAACCCTGTATAATTTCATTTTTAAATTTTCTCCTTGTCACTGTAGTATAATTTACAAATAAAATATATGATTAATATTATTAATTACTAATATTTATTATGATTTTAATATTAACAAAATTATTAATATTGCGATATATTTTATTGGTTTTATTTTTTTTTGAGGTGGTATTCCAAATTGGCAAATTGGTGACACTAGCTTATGTAGTTGGAAAAGTTATGGAAATCATGTGGGCGATTGGGAACGTATGACCCTATGGTTTGATGGAAATAATTTCCCAAAGTCAGCGTATTTGGCTGCGCATAAATCAGGTGCCTATTACATTTATAACGAAGGAACCGGGTGAGTAAATTGACCATATTACATTTAAGAATTCATTTAAATTATTTTTTCTTTAAATTCACAAAAACACTTAAAGAGAGGTATTATTTAAATATTTTTTCTTTAATAAATCAATTCTTTACAATTTTCGGTCGCTATTTATAAATGATATATTCTGACATAACATGAATATCTATTAAATAATTAATAAAAAATATTAGTAAACTTTTTGGAAAATAAAAAAATCATTATATTCATTGACAGCTTTCTAAAGTGGGACATCCAAATAATAACATTTTGTAAAAAACTAAGGGTCTCTTATACCGCTTCTACCAGTTTAGAATTTTTTTAGCATTGTCGCATTCTATATTATGGTAAAGTAGAATCAATTCTTCACTTTGGTATTCTGGGGTAGGAAGGGATTCGAAAAACGTACCTACCTAAAACCATTATAAATCCTACAAAAACGAATAATTTAAATAATTTTAAACAAACCAATTACTATTATATATTATATATTATATATTATATATTATATATTATATATTATATATTATATATTATATATTATATATTATATATTATATATTATATATTATATATTATATATTATATATTATATATTATATATTATATATTATATATTATATATTATATATTATATATTATATATTATATATTATATATTATATATTATATATTATATATTATATATTATATATTATATATTATATATTATATATTATATATTATATATTATATATTATATATTATATATTATATATTATATATTATATATTATATATTATATATTATATATTATATATTATATATTATATATTATATATTATATATTATATTACAATTATTATTATTATTATTATAAATTTCTCATATTTTAGTAATTTCCAATTTGACCATGCAGAAGAAAGCGAAGGTATTAATCAAACACCAGAATATCCACCATATCTACACACTCAAGATAATCACCCTATAGTATTCTCAGCCAAAGGTTCCCATGGAACGTGGGCCGCCCCTGGAGAATACCAATACAATACAGTTCCCAAATTAGTCGACAAAACTGGGTAAGTAAAATAGTATATTATTACATAATAAGAGTATTAAGAAGTTAATTACATGCGAGTAGAAAAGTTGGACACGAGCCGCGTTAGCGGCGAGTGCAGTAATTCTACGAGCATGTAATTGTGTTTACAACTCGAGTATTGTACTATACCTTATCCTACAACCACAATCATACATTTGCAATAACGTGAAGGCTTTCATAATTTTTAACATTTATTAAATACTTTTAAATAAAAATATTGTAAAATGCAAATACTAAATTAAATGATGAAAAATTGTTTTAGATACAAACCTTTGATAATACGTATTTTGAATCAAGAACTTTATTTAAAAATTTACTTTATTTCATCAAAACAAATAATTCTGCTTTTAAAATAGTCTGATTGAGGGCAGTACCTTGTTAGTAGTATTAGAAGCCTTTTCAAGAGTATCAGGAGGAGTTACCTGAATTTCATTTTCACTACCTGACGAAATAATTTTATTATTAAAAAATTATTTTGGCGTAAGAAAATTAAGAGATCAAATTTGCTCAAAAATTAATGAGGATTTTAAAATAATTTTTATTTCCAGAATTCAATACAGAATTCAATGCAGAATTCAATGCAGTTGCCACTGCTAAAAATAATAAAATTGTTTTTACATCAGAAAATGCATCTTGATTTATAGAAGACGTGTGCTAAATTTCATAAAGATATCTACAATAGTATCACAGTTATTACAAAAAAACAATTTTTTTTTGAAAATTTTACCGCCGTATATCTCAAAAGTTAGGAGGTTTAGGACGTACATCCATATGAAGTTTTTTCCTTAAAATGGGCCCATGAATCACCCCTTTAAATATTAGTATGTCATTAAAAAACACCATGTATACAGGATTGTTCAAAGCAGAAAAAAGTAAATATTGATACCTTCTTATTTAAATTTTTACTAGATTTTAGTATGACCTCCCCAAAAAACCACAAATACAATACATTATAAAATGTAAATGAGGGATTAACCAATAATTCTATAACTCAGTTACGGTAACACGAAATTACTTTAATATAAAAAATAGTAAACTGTCAATATTAAGTACCCACATTTATTTTTATAAAAATAGTATATTAGATATTAGGTTAGGACACTTCCGTAAAATTTAATAATAAATGTACACACAACCAAATTTGATACACTAAAAAAAATATTTTCTCATAAAACACTCAAATTTCGTTTTTAGAAATACGGAGTGATTCCATATAAATTTATTTGTTTGTATTTCGAGTACTAGCGTCATATAAACTTTTTATAATTATTATAAATAGAAAGTTACTAACCTAGATTAGATTAGATTAGATTAGGAGTTGGACGTTATTTGTCCTTGTCCACCGCGACCTTTTCAGATCTAATGTGGGACTCCGTTTGTTTTAGAGTATGTCGTCTAGCCTAGTCTTTTTTATTAGACTTAATAGTTTTGACAGTGGCTCCCGCATGTAGTTGCATGCAATTGGCTTTTCTTCACCCAATGTTAGAAACCTCATTCCAGCCAAGCCTTCACATTGGCACGGGACGTGGAATGATGTTTCCTCTTCTTCTTCACAGAACCTGCATAAAGTTGCTTCTTCTGCTGGATTTATGACACTCATGTGCCTTTTGAGGCGACAATGTCCAGTAAGAAGGCCTACTGTTACTGTTTGGCCTGTCTCAGTCTTGGATAGTTGTTTCACCATTCCTGAGACTCTTTTTGCATCCATTGTTTAATGGATGCCTTGCACAATGCGTTAGCAACTCCACAGAAGGGTTCGGGGCCTGTCATGGCCTTATATGAGCCTTCTCGGGCTAATTCGTAGGCCTTTTCGTTGCCCTGATATCCCTCATGGCCTGGAACCCAGGCTAAGGTCACCTTATTTTGACTACTTAGCTCTGTCAGGTCTTCTAGATAGTCTTTTACCAGTCGTGATTTGATTTCTGGTGAGAAAATTGCCTTTAGAGCTGCTTGGCTATCAGAGTAACTAAATATGTCGTTTTCTTCCGATGAGGAGTCATCATCATCAGTTTCCTTACTTCCCACAGCCCACAGAAATAATAATTGGTTCTATTGTTTTCCCTATTAATCAAGTTTCCAGAATTTCTCTTCCTGTGCTATGACATGTCTTATAGCGTTTTGCAAATTGTTCGGTGAAATTTTTGATATCGAGTCACATAATAGTTGTCGAACATATTGAAGTTTAAATGTATTGTTTCTCGCCATATATCCTTTTATTTGAGCCCAAATTAGTTAAATGAAGTTAAGTTCACAGAGTTAAGGTGTAACCGCAACACTTTAACTCCATGTTCTTTTGCTATTTCATCTACACCACACTTCTTAAATTTTGGTGAATATTGTTTACATAACTGCAATAGCCTTATTTGAGTAATCCCTCTTTTGCCACTATTTCTTTGGCAATTAGCCAATCGAAGAGTTCTTTCTTTTTCCATTTAGTGTTAGGTAACGGTTCCTTTAATATTGAATGGTAACTGGAGTTGTCTATAACAATTATTACAGAATTGGTCAGTAATAAATCGATCATTTGACTGATATATTAGTCGAAAACATCAGCAGTCATTTCATTATGGTAGTCTTTCGTAGACTTTGAAACAAATTCTATTAACAAATCCTTTATCTCTTCCAATATGAGTGATAGTTAAACGGCAACCTTTAGCATTTGGAAATTTTAAACCAGTAGACAAACCTTTTATAAATTCCTGATGAGCAATTGTAACCTGTTCATCTTGCCAAACTTTTTTTACAAAATGTCCTTTATTTATCCATGCTTCATCCAACTAAAAATATTTGTCTTTTCTTCTTAATTTTCTAATTTTACTTAAATATTGCCGAAGCCTAATTTATGTAGAGTTTTCCACAATTTTTCTCTTTTAACGTTTGGCAAAGTTTCGTCTACATTAATGTCTACTAAAAGTTTATCAAAAGTAGGTATCTTTTTTTTTTGTAAATAAAACGAATGAACTTCGGATCAGTTTTTCATAGGACCGTCTATTTGAATTGGTTCTCTCAGTTGACATTTTAGGTGCTACTGTAATACTTCCATCCTTTCGTTGCTTCAAAAGTCTATAAATGGGTGCTTCTCCAACTCCAGTCATATTTAAACAATTGAAATGTTCATGGACAAGAGCGTCATGTACATTTAACACTAAAGTTTTCATAGGCACGGTTAAATTGCACTTTAATTTTACAGGAGTATAATTATAAAGACGTTTGTGTCATTTTTATTTCACAAGTTCACTTGATTAATATCGCTTTTTATCGCCTATTATTACAGAACTAATAATTCTGCGTGTTACAATCACAAGACTATAAAAACAGAAATGTAAATCTTAAATATAAACTATAAAAACTATAACCATAACTATAACTATAAAATAATTTACAATCTGCATAACACTTTCTGCCGATTAGAAATTTTAATTCTTTCTAAGAAAGTTGAGTGCTACTTAAATTAATCTTGAATTGTATATGTTTTCTAGCTATAGATATTACATACTTACCTTCTTTTTGTTAATTAAAATGACTAGAAAATTTAAGACAAGAATTGAAATAAATTGGTACTTTTAAAAATTTTAAGAAGAAAACCAAAGATTTGATTTTGGAACAAATAATTCTAAACATTTTATTTTAGAAATTCTCCATCACTAATTTATGATGTTATATTGGGGTTTATCTCCTACGTCATAAAAATTTTGTTATCATTCATTTTCAAACTATAGTATTTTTCAGATACAGTTTATTTTGATAGCCCCGTGTATTGGAAAAGGAAGGATTGATTGCCTTAATTTAATGTCTATTTTCTTTTTCAGCTACGGAGTCCCATGGAATACTTGGAATAACGTCGAAATCTACCATTTGGGGTTGGACTCATTGCCTTATTGGATAAGGTTTAGAGGAAGATGGGGTAATCCCAAAAAAAATTGCTTATTGTTCGGAGAGCTCGAAATGTGTGAATATTCTGATGGACCTGAAGGCATTTTAAGACAATCTCAAGATTATAATTGTCCCTGATGATAATAAAACTTGCACTTAGCTTGTATACCATAAACATTGAAAATTGTTACCATAATTAGCAAACCTCGTAAATCCACTTAACTCCACAAAAAAAGTTCCTATTATACAAAATGGTCTTATTCTTTTAAAAATATTAAAAATCAATGTATAAAATTAATTTGAAGATTTTTAAGCATTCATAAAAATACAAACATGTTATTTTAAGCTCCTGAAAAGTTAGGTGTTTTGGAATTACGAGGTTTGCTAATTGGGATAACGAAATGCTAGTATTTTTTTAATTATTTTGTATATTTTTTTAAAACTATAAAACATGATATAAAGAACTACTAATAGTATAACCTCATGAAATTTTTATTGGATCGAAATGGATAGATATTATTGTTAAATTTCAAAATTTTGTTTTAAGATAATAAAGTGTTAAAAGGTTTGAACGATCATAAATTTGATATTTCTATTTAGGCTATTACTCAAAAAAATTAATTAATTGTTAGAATACCGTCTGTTTTTTTATCTCGTGTCGTATTATACACTTTTCCATTTTTTATAATTATTTAAATAAACTTTTTTTACGCAAAAACCAAAATAGTTTGTTTTTCACTGTACAACTCTATAATGGTAAAAGATCCTGTAGAATTTTTTAGACCACTCTAATGTTACCCAAAATAATGAAAAATAAATAAAACTAGGTCATAGGCTCTCACAGAATTATTTAAGGAGGTCCTTTCGCTACACCTCTCGCCTCAAATGTTAAAAAAAAAGTTATTAGATTATGACTAAAATTAATTTTTTTCTAACAGTTGAAGTCCTTATTTATCTAATACTGAACTTTTAACTATACCTTACCTTGCAAATTTTTGAGAATTTTTTTTTTTAATGTGAGTATTTGTACAGTGTCTCACGAGAAAGTAAGTCCTCAACAACAATTCTCGAATTATACTATTATTTATTGATTAGATGGAGTAGAAAAAAACTAAAAATAAGGTTTTTGAAATATTTAGATTTTTTTTATACAATAAAATATATATAGTAAACCCTGGAACTTATTGAGAAATTAATATTAAAAAATCACAAAAAATTTTCAAGTAACCTAGTTGAAATTTTTTTGTGATTTTTAAATAATAATTTCTCGATAAATTCCACGGTAACCTATATATTTTATTGTAAAAAACAAAACCTAAATATTTCAAAAACCTTATTTTTAGTTTTTTTTCTACTCCATCTAATCAATAAATAATAGTAAAATTAATTATAATTTATAGATAAAGGGGCTCCAATAAAAAATTTTCTCAAAAATTTGCACGGTAAGGTATAGTTAAAAGTTCACTATTAGATAAATAAAGACATCTACTATTAGAAAAAAATTAATTTTAGTCATAATCTAATATTTTTTATTTAACATTGGTGGCGAAAGGACCTCCTTAATCATGAACGGTTTCGAGGTTTTCTTATAACCTCATCATCAAGTCATAGTCTGAAAAAGACAAACAAAAGGAGGTAAGTTCCTTTATAAACAACTTTAAAGTAGAATACAACTCATCAGTGGCGGTTTGCTTGTAAGGACACTTGGGCACGTGCCCTAGTATAATAAACCAAAGAAAAAAAATAACTTACATATTTTATATTTTCCTCAATGTCTATTATTATTTTATCTAATATTCAGGGCAAACCACGTTGGCACTACACTGGACGCCCGGGCGTTGAGCGACGTTCCGAGAATTCCGAAATTAAGTGGAAGATGGGCACAGTAAATGTGTACCTCTGTTGTTTTCTCTTTCATTATGATGCGAAAAACAAGGACAACGACAATATCGCTTAGCAAGAGATGAACACATGCGGTGGATTATACGTCACAAGCAGGGCGCTGTCCTCAGCGTGACGTGCTGTATGTACCCATGGCACAAATTACCTAGACCAGATAGAGCCGGGCCAAGATGAGTTTGGTACACAACATGGCGACGGCAAAAGTTGCGCACTGTCTGTTGCCTAGCAACGACGCTTGGTAAAGCCAAACTTAGTCATTCAGTGGCGTAACTTGGGTCGAGTATATACAAAGTGAATAGAAGTGAATAGAGTGCGAAAAGTGACAATTTTATATAATTATAGTGCCTTGTGATTTATATTTACATATAAGTATTGTGTTTTTGTTTTTGTAATGGCTCCAAAGAGAATCGGATTAAAAGGGAGGTCCCTTAATAGTCAAACAAGAGAAATTATATATAATATTACTAAATTTATGGAAAAAGAAGCAAATGAAGGATTTCAAATTCCTCTAAAAAATTATCGGTGAGTATGATAATATTGCATTTATTTTATAACAGTCGTATACATAACAAGTAGTAAGAAGCGTTAGAAGCATTGGCGGCTAGTGCAATAATTCCACGAGCATATAATTATCTACAATCAGAATTATACATTCATAATAACGAGAAGGTTCATATAAACATATGTCCGAAAACGTTTCTTTTCCGAGATACAGGGTGTTAAAAGTGAAGTCATGATGACACACTTTTGTAAATATTTTCTAAACGTTTAAAGATAACTAAGTGAAATTTGGTAAAAATGCTTAACGAATTTTGACATACCTTTTCAGGAATCAATGACAAAACCGGAATTGTACAAAATTATTAAAGATAATAAATACAGATTTCTGGTAGTTTATAAATTAGACAGATTATTGGAGGCACACGGTCACAAAGTCCTTCGGCTTCCACCCTATCACCCTGATTTCAACCCAATTGAAAAAATATAGGCTTCTGTAAAAAATTGGGTAGCAGCTAGAAATACCACATTTACTTTAATTAATGTAGAATCGTTAACACGAGAAAGGTGTGCAACATTGCAAGTAGAAAAGTGGGTCAACATTTGTCGACATGTCAAGGAATATGAAGCTACACAAATTAAAAAAGAACATTTGTTGGACCATTTAAGGTTTACAGTAAATACTGAATCATCGGATGAAAGTTGGTCAGAAGATGAAGACAGTGATGTAAGTTTAGGAGTACAACAGCTCTCTGATTTAGAATCGGACGAAAATTAGATTTGTGTCTTTATTTATATGTATTTTTGTAATATATAAGTATTTTAATATTGTCTTATTTTATTACACACATATATAAAAAAAAATTATTTAGAATAAAATTCATATCATAGTACCTAGTTAGTAATTAATCATAATACATAATTTAAAATAAAAAAGGTAATACAAATTACTAAACGTCCGCCTCTGCCTCTGACGTCACACCTTTGCGCAGGGTCGAATGTACGCACTGGCTCCCTCACAAAGGCGATGCCGGTTTCGGATTAAGGTGCGAGTTTGTCGGACCATGATAATAATTTATTTATTCTGATTACGAAAAAACGTTAGTTGGACCATTGGAATAGTTAAGAAATGAAACTACAAAGAAAACTAACTTTGTTTTTTATAAAACAGTCAAAAATATGATGAAAAAAAAATCAGTAATATTTATAAATGAGACACAATTTTAATTTTTCTTTTGGTTTTATCTGACTTTTTCGAAGATTTCAAATCTCTGTTTGCATATTTAAAAGTATAAAAAATTAAATAGCCACATACATAGTTAAATGCATTTTGAGTGGTCACATTTAGCTCCCCTGTAGTCACATTCAGAAATCGTTATTGCCAACTGATTGTTTAGAAATATATTTAATTTTCATTAAGCGGAGAACTTGTTTTCCTAAGGGAAAAACGAATCCCGGGATTCCTTTCCAGTGTGTGCCCCACTGCCGCTAGTGCCCACAAGCCGCTACTGCAACTCACTTAGTAATATTAATTATGCATATTTTAAAAACATTTGACATCTATTACCTAGTACAATATTTATTTTACTGACAACATTGATAAAAAAGTAGATTTTTTAAATAGCTACATAATTACAGTTTTAGATAAAGGGGCTCCAATAAAATCAAAAACTAGCAAACTAATTAAACATTTTCCCTGGATTACACAAAATATTATTTATATGCAAAGGCTTAGAAATAAAGCCTTGCAAAAATTTCGCAAAACACAATTTCCAACGCATTGGGATTACTATAAACAATTAAGAAACTACACAACAACAGCTATAAAAGCAGGAAAAAGGGCTTACTTGAATTTTAAATTTCAAACTTGTAATATAAGGAAAAATCTGATGTGTCCAACACATGACTTTCCTATCTAGTTATTATAGGCTTTTTCCGGTTATTTTGTACAGGATAAACTAAATATATAAATTTTCCACATACACCTCGAAACATTTTTCTATAGATACTCATTGAAAACGAAAATACTGAAAAATTTAAATTTAGCACTCTTCCTCCAATTTTTCCATTACGGTTCATTTTATAAAAATCATATATAAACAAAAATTATACAGATCGATATCGCAAACAACGTTTAGTTCAACAATTTTCATAAAAATCAGAATTTTGCACATTTTGTCAAATTTCTCGAATACGGACCATTTCAGAAAATTTTGACATATAGCAAAAATTATAGATAATAATATTAGAAGTAACTTTTATTTGAACAATTTTTTTCTCCAAACATAAATAACAGATATATTTCATAAAATATAAAAACGGCCTCCCATAAAGTACCCCCCCAGATGTTACGAGTTTGTCCAAAATCTAATCATTTCACGTCAGGCCAAAATAAAACTTAAGTTTAAAATTTAATGTTTTTTTCTTTATCCGTTTTTCAGTTTTCTTCAAATTTCGAAATTTACACATTTTCTCAAATATCTCGAATTATAGAGAAAATTATAGATAATTATATTACAAACAACTTTTGTTTGAACAATTTTTATAACAAAATATTTTTTTACATTTTGTCAAATTTCTAGAATACAGACCATTTTAGGAAAATTTTGTATAGAACAAAAATTATAGAAAATAATATAAGAAGTAACTTTTAATTGAAGAATTTTCTTCCTTAAACGTAAATAACAGACATATTCCATAAAATATAAAAATGACCACCTATAAAGTACCCCCCAGATGTTCCGACTCTGCCCAAAATCTAATCAGCTCATTGGACGCTGGAACAAAGCTTAAGTTTAAAATTTGGTGTTTTTCTGTGTATCGGTTCATGAGTTATGCGACACACATACACACACACACCTGCTAGAATAATCTCGAAGCGTTGGCTAACTGCTTTCCCTATGCGTCAGCTGTATACCTAGAAGATTCCGGTAAAGTTTTGACTATAAGTCGGGTGCCAGACTTCACGTCGTGCTATAAAAGAAGAAGAACAGGGTCGGCTCAGGCGTTCTCACGACATTATGCTTAGAAGCTACATTCTTAATTGTATTGATTTCTTTAATATAATGTTCATTAGATAGTAGTACTCGTAGTAGTCGTTCTAAATAACAATTAAATGACGCTAGGTTATGTGTAATTGGGTAGTTAGCCTCATTATATATTACTACTCCTGTATGAGTTGACTTCCTAAAAATATTTAAGCCTAATTTCAAACCAATGTTATGAAAAATGG